GTTGTTTTTTATTAAAAAATTGTATTAATTAATTGTCTCTTTTTTAAAAAAAATTAATTTTTTTTTTACTTTAACCTTATTATCATCCTTCAATTTCAATTATCCACGCTATTACTAGAATTTTTTTTTTTTTATCTTTTCTATCTAAAGATAATAAACAAAAATACAGAAATTGTACCAAAAATTTTAATCTATAAAAAAGTAAAAGAAAAACACAATTATTTTGAAATAAAGGGAATAAGAATTGCCTATGATCACCTAAATGGTTTGTAATAATTTTCTTTCAAAAAAAAAAAATAGTTCATATTACATACTCTCTCAGTTTATTTTTAATAAATTTAATTTAATTTTTTAACTTTTAAAGCATGAATTTCATATGAAAATTTAATAATTTATATGAATAATAATTAAATTTTTTTCTCAAATAAACATACTTAACAATAACTATATATAGAGAAAAAAAAATTTAATTGTTTTTTTATATAAATTATTAAATTTTTATCTCAAATTTATATTTCAAAAGTAAAAAAATTAAATTAAATTTATTATAAATTATTAAATTTTTATCTCAAATTTATATCTTAAAAGTCAAAAAATTAAATTAAATTTATTAAAAATAAATAAAGGAAGTAATATATAAGTATATACAATGAATTAAGAAAAGTAAGGGTTTCATTCTATTATAAATTTAAAAATGTAAGCGTAAGTGTAGAAATTTTTTTTTTCTTAGCCAAAAAAATTATTATTATTATTATTATTATTATAGGCAGTACAGTGGTCTACGGTGGAGAATTAAAGTGAAAAAAAATTAATGTGCCTTAAAAATTGAGGAAAAATGAAAATTTTATCATTTTAATTTCATTTGAGAATGACAATGTTTTATTGTGTTTTTTTTTTTAATTATAAAAACAAAAAAAAAAAGGATGAAAAAAAAGACATTGCATGACGTGTAGCCACATGGGTCTTCCACTCTTCCCTTGCTTAGGGGGGTTGTGCTACATCGTCAGCAGCAATTATGCCGTCTGCCTTTTACCTTGTTAAAATATGCTTCCAGTTGATCTGTTGATGACACTGCAAAGTATGTGAACCACAAAAAAGGACAGTATATTTGCTTCTGTGCATGATATGTCTAGGTTCTTATCTTCATTACACAGCATGAAAGCAACAATGGCTGCCATCCAAAGTTCCAAACAAATCGCGTCTCATTTGGTAAAGATGAGTTTGAAAATTCAATTTAATGATTTTAAATTGGAACGTGGGGTCAAGTGAAAAAGGAGTTAAGAAAATAAAAAATTATTTTTTTATTTGGCTTATTGTCAAATATACTAAAAATAATTTCAAACAAAGCAAAATCATTGAACTGTTAACAACTTTTTTATATTGAGATCACCACTAATTTTAAGGATAAAAGGTCTATTTTACTTAATTATAATATTTTTATGGTTATATTATAATTATAATATCATGTAAAATTATAAATTTATAATTATGATGTAGCAAAAAATGAGTATGACGTAGTATTATATGAATAGATATATATAATATCATGAATAGATTTATAAATAAAAAGAGTAATTATATAATTATATAT